TTTTATTCTTCGAGTAAATGGCTATTAATAAAATTGTTTCGGTAAATTTGATTTTAGCCATTGCATTTTTCATTGCAGTCGGTGGGTCTGAATGGGGTTGAGCCTTTAATCAGATTTAATGTAATTCAAATGCCGGTAATTGCTTGGCTGTTGAAAAGGGAAATGAAAAAGGGAGAATTAACGTTTCTTGTTAGACTCGGAAATGTTTTTGTCTCACCTGCAATGTATCCATGTTCTGCCTCTGTGCTGTCTAACACCTCAACGCTGCTAATTAATTTGCAAGCCACCCTCTGCAACCCTTGTTCTCGTATGTTTAGCCCGCAGTCCTCAAAACGGGGTTAAGGCGTCATATTACTGCAATGCCATTTTGGAACAAAGACTATTATTCTACAAGACAGGATCGTAGCCAGACCGTGTAATCAGGACGGTTTCAAAAAAAAAAAAAATCGGGGCAGGCTGAAACACGAAGTTTTCCACATATTTTCCAAAAATTTTGTTTAATGTAGGTATTTCTTATTCTTCTGTTGACTAAGTGTATCAATGTATAGAGTTCTTGCACGATTTAATTCGAATAAATGAAAGAAGAATTAACATTTGACGTTATTTTATGAAAAAATTTGGTGGAGGCGCCGGGACAATTTAAAATTGAAGCTAAAATTGAGCAATAATTCTGGTTTCATTGAAGTAAATTGATGAATATTCATCTTTAAATTATATTTTTGGCCATATAGACGCAATTAGAGAAGCTAAATTAATTTTTTTTACTATAAATTAAACTATGATTTATAGTGTAATAGATCGGCAACCCAACATACAGCAAATATTACAAATCGAACAATAACTACCAAAACAGTTAGAAAACGTTTTTTTCTCATGAAAGTAACATTCTGCATTAAACTCGGTACTATCCTCGAGCAAACCACAAAAAATTATGTAGAAATAATTAATTGCTTAGTAATATGTTTAAGGACATTTGTAAAATTTGATTGAAAACGTTTATAAATTATCGTTTGGAGCTGTTAAAAAGATATTTGGTTACTAATTACGGCTAATTAATCAATTTGCATCATAAACTATCATTTTAAGGCTGAAAATACGACTTTCATGAAGAAATATAAACGTCATTAATAATTAATTAAAAATTTTATTGAAAATTTTGGTGGAGGCGCCGGGACAATTTAAAATAAAAGCTATAATTGAGCAATAACTCTGGTATTATTGAATTAGATTGATTAATATTCATCTTTAATTTATATTGTTTTCATGTAGACGCAATAAGAAAGGCTTATATTAATTTCTTTACTTTAAATTAAACTAAAATTTGTTGTATAATATATAGACAACCCAACATACAGCAAATATTGCAACTCTAATAATTACTACAAAGAGAACTTTTTTCTCACGATTAATAATTAAATAGGTAATTGTATATCAAAAACGTAATCGTCGAAGAAGTAATGTCGAAATTTTAGATTATGCTATGGGCCGATGGCATCGGCTAGGTGGCATTGCCCGTACTAATATAATATGATTCACGGCGCCAGAAAGGCATAAGCGTGCTGCAATAAATATTAATAATTACAATAGATGATCTTCTGTGCGATAATTCTTTACACTCCATTAAAAATTTATGAAGATAAATACATTTTTAACTTGGGCGAAATGAAAAGTTCTTCGGTTTCATAAATTTACACCCCTTGATGGGATTACGCCCTCGTAATACTTAAATAGTTAATTTTAACTTACTACCTAAGTACTCATGTTGAAAAAAAACAACTAACGTTGCGCTTTTAAATCAATTTAGTTTGAGAAAATTCATTTTGTCAAGGCAAAATTGTGTCTTTTGTTAGTTGGTTGTAGGCAATGACTAAAATGCTAATGGTTGGCATAAAATGCCCCCTTAATGCCCGAGTTCATCGCAAAAACATGCAATTAAGCGGAAAATAAACATAAGGCATCGACCATTCAAATTAATGGAATTTCTTAATTAACCAGAAATCGCGTGACAAAGGCAAAGCGATTAAGGTCTCTAATAAATATGTACATATTAGCAAGATCATATTAGCAATTCGTTATCATTTTCTTGTAGTTTTTACGTTAGCAACTCATTAATCATCATTAGGAGAGAGGTCCAAATATTTTTTCCTCCCTGCACCGAAACTAAAAAAAAAAAATAGCGTAAAAAAAATTAACTTATTTTATTATCCTTATTAATATTTGTTGTATTTCGGTTCACATTTGTGTTACACATTTTATTATCATAATCTCGCGATTGGCTTTTAGAGTTAGAGAAAAATTTACCAGTAAAAGTTATTAGATGATCCTTAATATTTAGTTTTCTTTTTATGAAGTGAAAATTTTATCATACGATGCTGAACCTTGCGTCTACCAAATAATGTATCATATAAACTGATATTTTATTGCCATGAATTACCCGTTATTATAAGCAAAATTTTTATAGATAGTACTAACCATTAAAATGAATTTTAAGTATTTCTTTTATTATAGATGCGTATGGATATATATATATATATAGATGTATGTGTATCGATTCATATGTAGGTGCAATACCTAAAGTACTAGATTTTCTTACCGTGGAATTTATTACGTTAAGTAAGAACTATATATGTATATATAGTGTTTTGAAGAAACGGTTGTTTGAATAAAACCGATTTTTCGTCGTTTTTAAGAGAGGCCCATTGTTCTTTCTTTTATTCTAGCATTCTCAGTGACATTTCACACGCTTTTGACTTGGCTTTCATTCAGGCCTTATGAAAAAGCAAACGCATTTACGAATCTCTTTCTCCACACCAAGGGTCGGATACAAATTTCCAAGGAACCAATGAAAATAAACAACTTCCACCATTAATTATAATTACTAATTGTACGAATTACTTGTCGGAAAATGAATAATTTATGAAAGAAATCCTGCCTTGTTGTGAGATAATATAAATTGTCTGTCGACACGATTCTGTTTATAGTTGTAGAACAAGAAGGTCCGTTTCTTCTCGGGAATATTTTCGTTTTTCGATTGGGTTCTTGAAGATACATCCACGTGTGTTTTCCTTAAAAAAATACAAGCGCAGGTGTTTAGAATTCACGAAGAAGATAACTTCCAACGTTAAAAGACACTCCAGTTTCCCCAAGTATTCTCGAAATCGATCAAGTAAAAAAAGATTAGAACGATTCACCCGGGTAAGGTTGAGAATATAAACTAGAAACGAAATATGATATACCAACCCATAATGCAGCATCGAATTTTTGCATCAAGCAAATTGATTGGAAGTTTACCCATTATAAAAGCAGAAAAAGAAATGGTTAGCGACCTCTACCTCTCTATATGTACATTTATGATGTATTTGTTTGATTCATCCTCCATAAATTTTCCTACCGTGGCATAAAAATGATAAATATCCGTTAAATTACTTTTTGATCCAAACAAGCCGATAACTCGTTTAATTCTTGCTTTACTTCGCCAAAACTAGTTCATTCCATTTCAGTAAAACTTTAATAACAATCATTGTAACAGTCAAATGAATTTTAGCTCATCATCGACGACAAATCCAGTCTATTGTACTAATAAAAATTAATTAAAACAAATTGAACTGTTTTAAATGTGCTTCGTCTACCGTGTTTGTAATGAATTGAAATAATAGCGCACCCTAACAACGCATTTCTGTCGGTCGTTATATAAAAGGTGTCGGCTGTCATTCTTCCTACATCATCTTATATGACTTTTCCTGCAGTATGGAAGCCATTTCTGTTCTAGTTCAAAACGGTCTCTCCTACATTATTTCAAATTCCTTGCCATGCTCTACTCTAACGACGGTTTCTAAAGACATCAAGTGGAAAGGATAACAAATAGTGCACGTTCCTTGTGGCAAATGTTTTATATTCTGCAAAATCTGAAGCTACATGACATGTGACATCATTTTAAATAAACGACCAAAATACATTTGGCTTTAGCCTTTCGCCAATAAAATTCCGTCAAATTCACCAGCATTCATCCATCAGGAAAATTTCTCCTTTGCCATTAAATGACCGAATTTTACCGGATTGTTGTAGCTATTTTTTGTAATAAACTAGTAGAAATTTAACGCAAATGTGCTGAAATGTGTTCCTTTATGGCAATATTGATTTTGACTTCAGTTTTTCGAATTGAACCGGCTATTCATGATACCAGAGGCGTAAACTGTAACCGAAATTGACATGAGTTCACACAAATTTCGTTCATGTGAAATATCAGTAGCAGCTATCTGTTTAAAATCGACAATAAATGTTACTGTTTGTCCTAGTTACTTATTCATAACTTGCATTCACGAATAAGTTGATGAGCCATCAGCATAATTCTTAACGAATTTACATTTCAATTCTTTAAGCTCACTCAACGCTGGAACACTTCGAATAGAGTAATTCTGTTGAGACTGAATTTTAAAAACTGTATAGGTTTTTACTCGAATAATGCTCGTTCTTGTGAGAAAATTGATATCACAATGATTATTAAATAACATCTGTGTAATGTGTCGAAATCAAAATAAGTAACTTGTCCTAACTTTATTTAAATTTGGTTGGTATGTGCGGCAGTGCATGATGAAGGTATTACATTAAGTAAAGAACAATTTTGTAAACAAAATCCTATTTCTTTTAGAGCGACTCGTTCTCAAACCACTAAGCTGGAATCAGTCCAAATGCTGTAGAATACCCTCTAGAGTTTATCCTGCTTATCATTCCTGATTGCAAGCCAAAAATATTCTCTGCTATTTTGATTTTCAACATTACATACTGTTATTAATTTTTCGTTAATTATTTGCTATTAATTAAACTCATTTTATTAATAACAAGTAAGTATACTGAAAAAGTTTTTGTAAAAGGTTTAACAATACCGCAAATTGAGCAAAATTATTTGGAAGTCTTAGTAGTAATTAATTGCGATTGGACATTCTGTTAAGGGCGAGCTCCTTATCTTCTATCTATTTTTCTGTACTGCTGCTTCAACTTACCTAATTTTTGGTAACTGTAACTCTGCACTAAAACTAGAAGTCTGTAAAAAAGTTTCTTAAGCAATTCTTTTAACGGACTTCATTTATTGGTATGTTCAAACGCTGATTGTTTTAACAATTTTGTGCAACAAATTTTAACGCTCAGACGATACCTACGTGACTGGTTCGATTAAATTAAGGGTAGTAAAATCCCCTTTCGCGGCAAACCGTATACTGAGAATTTTGCGTGAACAGCGCTCCCAATATTACTGTCCTACGGGACGCCTGCGCGAACTACGCCTTCAGAAAAAGAATTATTTAAAAAAGAAACATTTTTTTTTATATTTCAAAGAGTAAATAATTTCAGAAAAACGTAGGACATTAAAAGTAACGCATGTATTACCATGATTGATTTTACCAGCGCACCTTCGAGTAAATCGTTACTTCCTAGAACACTTGCAACTCCTTTTTCCTTGTACCCCAACTATTTTAAGTGGGGTTTTTCACAAGAAGTCCCTGAATGCTCCCCTTCTTTAATATACTGCAGGTGCGAGCCGTTTTCTGAAAACTGTCGAAGCATTTTCGTCACATAGTTTAGATGAGAACACTCATTTCTAAAGGGTGAAACAGTGCAAGTGATGGAATACGACAACAGATATACTCGTTTAAAATTCGCGCCACAGTTTAGAATAAAAGTTTTAGCACTTTCAGTTTTTCAGCAATGACATGTCAGAATTGCAGCGTTATTTTAGGGATAAATACTTAAAAAATACCCCCGATTTTGACCATTAATGCGAAGCATTATTTAAATTTAATTTAGAAATGTTTTTGTTATAAATTGTTTGTGGACTTTTGTTGAAGACTCTTGAATTAATTGGCAAGCCATGTGGTACATTATCTTAAAAAGGGTAAGTACTAAATTATATTTAAATTATTGATTAATATCAGCTTTAATACTGACGGGGTTTCTGTAAAATTGACTATAAAATTATTATTTTAGAAATTAATTAATTATGCAAGATCAAATCGAAAAAAGGATCAGAGTTGTCTTTGAAAATATTTATATATTTATTTACTAACCTATACGTCAACTTTTTACAACAAGTTATTTTATTACTAAAAAAATCATATACAAAGCGTAAGTACTAAATATTATTGAATTAGTATATATTTTATTTACATTTTTCGTTAAATTTTGTGTGGAACGGTATTTTTAAGAACAAATTTTTGGAAGCACCTGGCCAGGTAAAAGTTTGGAAAAAGTCATGGAACAGGGATTTTCGATGGAATTTTCTGGCAAAAATGCAACTTGCCCTTCTTATTTACCACCTTTTGATTATTCTGAGTCGTCAAATCAAGAAAATTACATAATTCCAGGTAAGTGTATGTGTGGTCTGATAACAGTTACATTTAGTGTTAATATAATTAATTTTATTGCAGCTGAATCTGTTAGTGGGTTGGATTTTGAGTTTACAAATACCACAAGTGATGTTTCACATATTTTTAACTTGAAAGAGTCTTCTGGAAAGGACACATATGCACTGTTTGACCCAAACTTCGATTGGATGAGTTTAACAACCGAAACTGATCATGTTTACACTCCATCATCGATTTTTCGCAATTTAATAGAAGGCCAGTACCACGAAACAGCTTCTCAAGCAGCAAAAAATGAAATCGACTTGAATATGACAAGTGTAGTACACATCGAAATAGAAATATCTGACGAAACCGAAACAGGTAACTAAAAATCTATTCAGATTGGTTTTTTTTACAAGTATTTATACTTTCAGAAGAGTGTACATCATCTACAACCGAAACACCAACAACTTTATCAGATTTATATAAAACCATCTCTATAAACGACCTCAGAGATTACGAATTAGATTCTTTATCAACTGGTAGCGATGAAGTTCATGAACCAAACATGAACATGGAGCCACTTCCATCTGATTTCGCTTTAGAAAAGAATGACGTTGTTGATAAGAGTTTTCCTGGCATTTTGGGGGACGAAACTGTGCCATCGTTTGGAGCATTCGACAAATTTCAGAACATCCCACCGTCATTGAGCAGAGAGCGAAGAAGTAGTCAAAGTCGTGGACGCGCCAGACGAAGTGGTTCGTTTACAAACGTTCATCGATCTTCTCGTAGGTCAACACCACCCAGATACTGGAAGGCTACAGTTCCTGGATGCGATAGGAGTGAAATAAAGACACGTCGAAGGTCTGATGCGACGTCTTCTGTTTCGTCGTGTCCTTACAATCGACCTTTTATTCCCTCAAGGCCTGAACATTTCAGAACCATTACAATATCAGTGGACGAGGCTTATTTGGGACCGAGTACTTCTTGGGGAAGGATAAAAGACCTTCCAATCTGGATGAGACCATCTCGTCTGGATTATCTCAGTGATTCTGATTGAAAACTTATACATTTTACAATTTTTTTCTCATTTCTACTAATTATGCGGATGATAAATTATTGTGGGCATACACCTTTTTCTTTATTGTAACCTTATTTTTATTTACAAACCTTATTTATTTAAATTCTTGTTAAAATACAATCAATAAAGTAATTGTTGACCTAATATGGACTTGTAATTGGTATAAATGAGGCATTGATGTGATATTTATCGTTTATATTGATAATAAACATGCCTGAAATTCTTCTTTTGATACAGAAATAGTTTTCTTTTAGAATTTAATTAAGATTCAATATATTTTTATATATAATTATCTTATTAATTGTTTGGTACAGGTATATTTCTCCTTTTGCTGATCAGTTGGACAATTAACTTGTAGCATTACGATGAATATTCTTTTAGTAACATTTAAAATTGCTTAGAATAAAATTTTACCATTCTTACTTTAATTAAAATATAATTGATACCAACAGCAAGCAGACATTCTGAGAAATTTTGCAAAAGAATATCTTTTTAAAGAAACATTTAGATGTAGATGTAAAAGTTCAGATTCAAAGGCTTTTTTAAGTTAGTTTCATGTTGGCAAAAGAAAATCTTTGCCCTTTTAAAAGCACCTAAAAATCGTTTTTAATAAATTTGAACGTTTATATTGATGCAAAAGATTATCTTTATTTCGTAATATTACTTTTTTTGAATTGTCGACCTAAATATTAAGTAGAAGTTTGAAATTGGAGATATTCCTTTTTATTCTATTTATTTCCTCAGATATTTGATTCAATAAAAACAAACTTTGCCATTTAACTTCCCTTAAAATAGCTCAAAGTATAATAAATGATTGGAAAAAATGTTGTTCATGCTTGCTCGTTAAAGTACGACATATAATTTTATTTTCTTACTATTCCATTCAATAATACGACTGATCTTTTTACCTACAAAATTTACCTAGGGTCGTTCAGAACGAAATAATATTGCTACTTCAACTCAGTTTTACATTGACAAAGGATAAACTATTTACACTTTAATAGTCCTTTTCTAAGGATCATGGATATTAGTTATTAACTTTTATACTTACCAAAAATATTTTCTCTGGAAAAACATTTAAGTAAGTTTAAATTCAAGTAAAAATGTTTTTTCAAGTTAATTTGATATTTACATTAGAGACAGAGGGTTACCTTTTAAAATAAAATTAAATATTCGTTTTTATAAACTTGTATTCATCTAGATTCATTCCTACATATCTACAGTTGAAAAGGAATTGAGGTCTGTTGTTGAAGTATAAGCCGTTAATTTATTTATATTTACTTTCTGAACTGTTCAATTTAATAAAAATTAATTCCAATCTAATCTAATAAGTTCTTAACTACTCAAAAATTCACTTGACAATCACAAAAAATGCTATAGGTACTTTAAATTGCTTATTATTTTGAATTCGTTACATATTCTCTGCTTTTACATATTTGTTATAGAAAGTCTTCCAACGCTTCACCTAATTCTTGCCCAAGAATATTTCAAATTGATGAGAATTTTGGTAATTTAAGCTACAACTTATATTGACCAAAAAATAATAATTTACATTTAAACAACTTTCTGTTAAAGTCTCGAAAGTAAATCCTTAAGTTTTCACATCTTCCCTTCCATCTCGTTGACAAAAAAATAGTTTCTTTCAAAAAGCATTTAAATATATTTAAATTCAAATAAAAATGTTTCTTGAAGCTTCTTTTAGATTGACAAAAAAATGTTTTCACTTCCAAAACTACCTTAAAATTCTTTCATGTAGAGTTGTAATCATCTACAATTTTAAAGGAATATATTTACTTTATGTGTAGCTAACATTTCCTTTTTTTGAGAATTACTTATTATCGATTTCTTCTACCTACTTTCGTTTCCTATAACCGACCTGATATATGTCGTTAAAAAAACTTTATCGCACGTTTCTCTGAAATAATAATGTCACAGCAGACTTTTATTGATAAAAAATGAGTAATCTTCCGTCTTGTTATTGTATCTTTTAATGGCTTTAATATTAACTATCCTACATTTAAATATCGCGTCTTCAAAAATTCTCTACAAAACTTGCATCAAAAAATAACAGTATTAATTAAATCGTTTTCACAAACTGATTACCTATTCCACTTCCAAAAGTATCGTAGAATACTTTTACGTCTAATGCAATTTAATGATTTTTGGCAAAAATTCATTTTTTTCATGATTTAGTCTTTGAAAAAATTTACCCACATTTTCTACGAGTTAAATTGCAATTTTTGCCACAACTTTTTCCGTTAATTAAGCCTAGAACACTAAACGAACTTATTTCCAATTTTCTAATTTTATGGTTTTTCCCTCTTGCCCATATTTTCCCAGATTTTTCCACATTCGCGACTTTAACGCGTATGCACTTCAAAACAGCGTTGGGCAACTAGTTTTTCTCGGAAAATTATCGAAAAAATCAATATACCGTACGTTGCTAGGAACTTCTGAATCGTAGCAACGGTTTGTTTATATGTTTATTAGTTACCGTAGTTCCAGTTTCGCGAACGCGCGTGTTTTCGCTTTCTCGTCGAGAAAAATGGCAGAAAAGCGGGAAGAATGCAAGAAATATAGCAAAACGTTTACTATTGGTGAATTTAAACCGAATATTAAAGATTTTAATTTGAAAAAAATAACCGATGACCTGATTGAAAGCCTGGACATACCCCAACACAAGCACAAGCTGGTAGTGGACTTCTTTATGAATAATCTGAATGATTTATACATACGTGAGGCCCAAACCGTTATCGAATTGGAGTATCCAAAGATAAAACGGAAGCAACATGATGAAGGATGGGAAGGATTACGACATTTTGCAGGAAATATTTTCACAACTGGAATGTCCAAGTATTTGAAACGAACGATTATTGCGAGGCTACAAGTGAATGGATTGGATGAAGTTTATCAAGAACTTTACAATGACCTTTGGGAAGAAATAAACAACGAGTATCTACAAGGTACACACCTGGCAGGTATGAACTTGCAAGTTATACCAACGGATCCCAATGAGCAACGGGTCATTATATACCCGTACAAGTACAAAGGCAAGACCGATCGTTATGCATCGTTTTTGTGGGCACGCAACGAAATGAAACTTCATTTGACACTTCCGAAACCGTTGATAAGACACCTTCTTGATTTTTGTGTGACGAATTTACCTGAAACCCTAATGCCTTTAAAGGGTTATCGTGATCATTATCTGATATTTTCGAAAGTTAATGCCAACTTGGAGTTTGACATCGAACGAGCGACGTTGTTCGTCAGGGGATTTTATGCAAACGTGGTTGATATATGTGGTAAAGAAGCCATCGTCGAGAAGGAGCAGATAATACCCTATTTAAAGTCAGCATCGGCCCTGTTATCAGTGCAACTTAGGCTGTTATCGGAACGAACCATGGACTCGTTTGTGAACAAATTAACTTGGAAATTTACAACACCACTGTTAACTTTCAAACTTATGTACGATAAGCAACCGATCCTTTATCCATCGCTCGATGAAGTCTTTAAATTGTACTGCAGTGTAATCGATCTAATACCAACAGCGTCAGATTCACTTCTTGTTTTGGAGAACGCGTTTCTCAAGGAGATGGATAAGACATTTATACCTGTATCTATCAACAAGGAAGTGATTGATTTGTATAAGAGGAAGCTGTACAGGGGTTTGAAGGCGTTGTTTACACCCCTTCTGGAGTACGTCAACAATCTTCGCGAGCAATTTGACGCAATATGCTCTCTCGAAGCGGGATCTGAGACTCAGAGTTTTTCAGATTCGATAGCCAGTTTTGACGAGGAGTCGTTTCAAGATATTGCCAAAGAAATTGAAGATCTCAACAGCTATGCTGACAAGGCGAACAGCATGGTCTATCGCGAGTACTTCCCGATGGGCTTGCTAAACAATACCGAGTTTATAACTGGCGTCGTGTCAGATATAACGCACGTTAACAGAAAGAAGATTGATTATTTAATAGCGCTTCATATAAGCGAAAACAGAAATATTTGCAGCGAATTCGAAGCTTTAAAGATAAAATCGCTTAAGGTTCCCAAGACGACGGAAGAACTGATGGAGTTGAACAAGTATATGATTTGGGCTTCGACCGTTCTTTTGACATCATTAAAGGACAGAATTAACGTTTCCCTCAAATTTAACGTGCGGCTTATGAATATGACAACGCTCACTCTGCAACATATTGGATTAAATTCGAGAACGTACAACTGGGTTGAGAATATTAAACCTATTTTGGAAGAAAATTCTGCGATGTGTGAACGTATCCGGTTTGAATTTGAAGAAAGACTACAAAAGACCATCGAACAGTTGTTCATTCAACTCGACGATTACTATCCACTTTTGAAAATTGTTGATGAAATGGACGATGCCGATAATGCTAGAGACTACCTGGTCCATTTGGAATCGCTCATGGTCTATATCAAATTCTTCTCGAAAGTAGCCAACTGGATAAACAAAGAGGAACAGTTATTCCAACTTACTCAGACAACGTTTGTCGAATTGGATTACGTAAAAAGCTTTCTTTTTCCATTTTTCCGTTTGGTCGAACTTTGTGCAGAATTTGACCGGAGAACCGAAATTTGGTTTGACGGACCTTTCGATTATTTGGACTTTTACGATTCCGAACAGTTTCTAGATGAACTTTACAAAGAAATTCAAAAGTTTCAAAAGTGGTACAAGAACATGCTTCGTCAACCTCAAGAAAACCCTCCCATACAATTTAGCGGCGGGGTTGATGAACCCGACATCCTGAATTTACCTGCACCACTGAAGTTAACACAAAGAGCCTTGCAAAAAATAAAGGAATTCTATCCTGTTATGAACATAATGAGCATTGTCTGTAATGATGCTTTGTTACCACGACATTGGGACGAAATGTCCGAAGTTATGGAAAGAGATATCACACCAAACTATGGCACAACCCTTAGGAAATATATCAAGATGGGTCTAATCGATAAAATAGACGATCTGGAGGTTATTAGCATCGCTGCTATCAAGGAGAAGCAACTTTTGGACACTTTAATCAAAATGCAAGCAGAATGGGAAGATTTAAAATTCAAAACTAGCGAATACAAAGATACTGGCATCTCGATTTTAACACAATTGGACGACATCCAGGCAGTGTTGGACGACCATATTTTGAAGACATTAACGATGAAAGGTTCCATATTTGTAAAGCCTTACGAAACAAGAGTTATTGCGTGGTATGAAAAGATAACACGGATAAACGTTACACTAGACGAATGGGGAAAAGTTCAAGCACAATGGCTGTATCTGCTTCCAATTTTCTCCTCACCTGACATCCTCAATCAAATGCCCGAAGAAGGGGCATTATTTAAGGACGTCGATACAACATATAAAAAATACATGGGCGTCGTCAAACGCGATCCCAGAGTTATCGAAACAGCCGGTTCCAAGGGTCTGTACGAAAATTTACAACGCTGTACAAAACAGCTCGAGAAGATCAACGAAGGCGTCGCCAGATATCTGGAAAAGAAACGTTTGTTCTTTTCGAGGTTCTTCTTCTTGTCAAACGACGAAATGTTAGAAATACTATCCGAAACCAAAGATCCACTTCGCGTCCAACCGCACTTACGTAAATGTTTTGAGGCAATTAATAAGCTGCAGTTCGACGAAGAGCTTGTGGTCCACGGGATGTATAGCGGCGAAGGTGAATATATTAAATTTATGGAAACTATCGACACAAAAGAAGCCCGAGGTAGCGTGGAGAAATGGTTGATTAAAGTAGAAGAACAGATGATAAACGCTGTTCGTCACGAAATTGCAGTCAGCTACGACGACTTTAAAGATAATGCTCGAACGACGTGGATGAGAAGATGGCCAGGCCAAGTGGTGTTGTGTGTGTCTCAAGTTTACTGGACTGCAAACGTCACACGGTGTTTACAGATGGAATCTAGAAGACCTACGCAACTTTTTACGGAAGCACTCAACATTGAACTTTTGGAAACAGTAAGCTTAATACGAGAACCGTCTCTCACAAATTTAGAACGAATAACAATAAAGGCCTTAATTGTAATCGACGTCCATGCGAAAGACGTCGTACAGGAACTTGTAGATAACGATGTGACGAAGATATCTGACTTTAAATGGCTCGCCCAATTACGGTATTACTGGGTAGAAGGCTGTTTTGTCCAGATGATCAATGCGACTGTCGATTATGCCTACGAATATCTTGGAAACTCTGACAGACTCGTAATAACTCCACTGACCGACAGATGTTACAGAACACTGATCGGTGCTTATTATTTACATTTGAACGGTGCTCCAGAAGGTCCTGCTGGAACGGGCAAAACCGAAACGACCAAGGATCTAGCCANATAATAAATAGTTTAGCAGTTTCTAAATATTTCATTCCAATCTTTTAACGGTTAATATCCAAAAACAAAATATAGAAATAGTTACACCGAAGTTCTTTTTTAAATGGACGTGTAACGTACAGAGTCGTCTGTACATGATTATTTCGAAAACGATTTTTTTTAAAAATACATAATAACAGTTTATTTACGTTATAAACGTGATATCGAAAACAATCAAAATGCATAAATAATAAAAGTATTAAGTAACGCAATAAATGGCTAACAGAAAAATAAACCGATACTTACTTATACTGAAAAAACAGTTGTATTTTCCAACATCTGGGGTCCATTTTTCAGGAAGAAATTCATATTTTTGCGCGCAAACTGCAAAAACCGTTACAAGCAGTGGAAAGGACCAACCAAAAACATTATAATGTAGAAAACGCTTTAGTTCTCTTTGACGTTGTCCTATTCCTTGTACCCTCATTGACCTGAAACAATTCATGGTAAAATTAACATCCCGCCTGTTGGTCATGGTAAAAATGTATAATCACTATATGGGTAATAATTTTTTTACGTATTTGTTTGTAATACTAGCGTTTCTGAAGTCATTTAATGGAGCTGGTATCTTCACCCGCTATATACGCACCGAGGGTTTAGACTAGGTTGTAGAGAAAAGGTTTCTCTGGTTGACGTGTGTGAATAGCTATTAGGGTTGCCACCTTTTCAGGCTTTACATAAAGTATTTCTCTACTAGTAGGTTATAAAAAAAGTACTAAGCATAAAAAGTATTTTATTTTTTGCTTTTAAAAACATATTTATTGTTACACCTAACAGCCAGTAACAAATTGCTATAGTAATTAAATATATTAATAGCCTCTGAATATAGCAAACAAAGATTTAAGTAAACTAAAAGTTCTTTTTTAATTAGTTTTAATGAAGCTTTATTCCTGTCNGGCTTGCTTCGACGAGTTCAATAGAATCGAAATTGAAGTACTTTCTGTAGTCGCTCAGCAAATATTATGCATCGTACTGGCAGTGAGAGCTGCCGTAACCAAATTTAATTTTGAAGGCACAGAACTGACTCTGAATCCCGCAGTCTACGTTTGCATAACCATGAATCCCGGTTACGCTGGTAGATCTGAATTACCAGATAATCTGAAGGTGCTATTTCGAACGGTTGCCATGATGGTGCCTGATTACGCAATGATTGGAGAAATATCCTTGTACTCTTACGGTTTCGAACATGCCCGAGTACTCTCTGTAAAGATTGTCACAGTCTACAGACTTTGCTCTGAGCAGTTGTCATCCCAAAATCATTACGACTACGGAATGAGAGCTGTCAAATCGGTCCTTTCAGCCTGTGGAAATAACAAAAGAAAATATCCGAATGAAAATGAAGATATACTTCTCTTGAGGTCCATCCTGGACGTGAATTTGCCGAAATTTTTAAGCCACGACCTTCCTCTTTTTGATGGAATCATATCTGATTTATTTCCTGGAGTTGTACTACCTCAAGCTGACTACAGGGTATTCCTCAAAGCAATGAAAGAATCTTGCAAGAAACGAAACCTACAGCCTACTGAGTCGTTTCTTACTAAAATTATACAAACATTCGAAATGATGATTGTCAGACATGGGTTTATGCTTGTCGGAGAACCTCTTGGGGGAAAAACGTGTACGCTGAAGGTTCTAGCGGAAGGTATGACGCTTCTTTGTAAAATGGGCGAGAAATACGAGAAGACCAAGTATCAATTTATCAATCCGAAATCGATAACAATGGGACAGTTGTATGGGCAGTTTGACCCTGTATCTTACGAGTGGTACGACGGAGTTGTAGCTACGTGTTTCCGAAATTTTGTCACCGAAGATACGCCAGACAGGAAATGGATCATTTTCGATGGCCCAGTAGATGCCGTTTGGATAGAAAACATGAACACAGTACTTGACGATAACAAAAAGCTCTGCTTGATGTCCGGAGAAGTCATGGCTATGACGAACGCGATGTCCATGATATTCGAAGTTATGGACCTCGCTCAGGCTAGTCCAGCAACGGTAAGATATGTGCACCAAAATAGGTGTATTATTTATCGTATTAGTAGAGCTAAACAGTAATTCTGATTGGTATTTTTAATCAAGGTATCTCGCTGTGGAATGATTTACATTGAACCCTCGACGCTTGGTTGGCGACCGTTCGCTGATTCGTGGTTACCAACTCTGAATCCGGAATGGGCAAGTGAAGAAATGTGTGCCATGATATCGGCAATATTAAACTGGATCGTCAACCCCTGTCTGGAGTTTATACGTAAATTTTGCAAACAGTTATGTAATGGAGGGGAAATCAATTTAGTGAGATGTACAATGCAAATTGTCGAAATGATTGTTGACGACGCTATAAAAAGTAGTACAAAGAAAGAAGAGGATGCAAAGTATCTAGATCAATGGATACAAGCCACTTTTCTAATCGCTGGTGTCTGGGGATTAGGTTCAGTGTTGGATACAGATTCGAGACTAAAATTTGACGAATTCTACAGAACTTTGTGGAAGGGCATCAACCCCCAATACCCGCCACCGGAAAGTTTATCAAAAATAGAAGTAACCTTCCCCGGAGAAGGCATTCTCTTTGATTACATGTTCGTTTACAGAGGAAAAGGTACATGGAAATATTATCCTGAAATTGCAAAGTCGATGAAAGTAGAAGAAGAGGCGAACGTCCAGCGTGCGCTCATCCCCACCGTTGACACTCTTAAATACATGAATATGATCGAAATGCACATCAAAAATAACTATCGTGTCCTCCTCATCGGGCCGACGGGTACTGGAAAAAGTATATACATGCAAGATTTGCTAATGAACAGGCTGGACATAGAAAAATACGAACCGGCGTTTATTTCGTTCACTACAAAAATTAGTGCCAATCAAACTCAAGACCTAATCATTTCGAAATTGTACAAACGCAAAAGGGGAACCTACGGGCCGCCCAAAGGGAAGACTGCTGTACTTTTAATTGACGACATGAACATGCCCGTTAAAGAAATTTATGGAGCACAGCCTCCAATCGAACTTCTCAGGCAGTTCTTCGACCATCAAAATTGGTACGACTTGAAAGATACAAGTGCTTTATATTTGGTTGATATTCAGTTCGTTGCTGCGATGGGACCTCCCGGAGGTAGCAGACAAGACGTGTATCAGCGATTTTTGAGACACTTCACGATATTCTCTATTAACGAATTTAGCGAGGAAACCATGATAAAGATCTATTCGAACATTCTGTTGTTGGCACTGAAGAAGAACGGATTTCCAAGCGACGTTGTTTTGGCCGTAAATCAAGTTGTAAATGCAACGATCGACTTCTATAAGGCAGCATTTCTGAATTTGAGACCAACACCGGCAAAAAGTCATTACGTCTTCAATCTGAGAGACTTTTCTCGAGTTATCTTTGGTGTCGGCATGTTAAGAAAAGAGTCAGCCGACGACAGACGGATTTTCAGTCGAATATGGATTCACGAAATCCTCAGAGTATACTACGATAGACTGATAGACAAAAGAGACAAAGAATGGGTTTATGAAAAGGTTAGATCTTCGTCGACTACATTCTTCAAAGAAAATTTCGACACACTCTTCGATTACTTCGAAAAGAATTCCGAGGGGAAGATAACGGAAGAGACTCTCAACGGGTTTTTATTCGGAACTTATTTGGACAAAGATGCTTCCGAGGATGATGCTAGATACGAAGAAGTGATGAATTTTTCGGTTTATGAAGACGTTTGTAACACGTGCTTACTCGAATACAACGCTGTGCATAAAACCAAAATGGACATTGTCCTGTTCCGATATGCACTGGAGCACTTATCTAGGATATGCCGCGTGGTATCTATGCCAACTGGAAGTGCCCTTCTTGTCGGAGTTAGCGGTTCTGGTCGACAGTCCCTAACTAAATTGACGGCTGAGATATACGGATACTTTTTCGTGCAACCAGAAATAACCAAAAATTACGGGATGAACGATTGGAGAGACGACATTAAAAGAATTTTAAAAGAATCTGGCGGGAAAAATAGACCCACCGTATTCTTATTTACCGAAGCGCAAATAAAAGAAGAAGGATTTCTTCAAGATATAGATTGCTTGTTAAACTCCGGAGAGGTGCCCAATATTTGGGCAATTGACGAAAGGCAAGAAATTGTGGAAATGGTCAGGCTAGCTGCCCAAGGCGGCAACAAAAAACTGGACATCAGTGCTCTAAAGATCTTTTCATTCTTCACCAAAAGATGCCGCGAAAAACTGCACATCATATTGTGCTTCAGTCCTATAGGCTCGTCTTTCCGAACCAGGCTTAGATTATACCCCTCGTTAATCAACTGCTGCACAATCGATTGGTTCGAAGATTGGCCGGAAAATGCCCTCGAGATGGTCGGCAAAAGCTGGTTGGAAGACGTAAACGTTCCCGCCGAAGTGAAAGTATCGGCCATCACAGCATGCAAATCGTTTCACATAAAAGCCAGACAGATTAGTGCGAAATTTTTCGTCGACACTTCCCGAAAAAGTTACATTACGTCTGCTTCGTATTTAGAACTTATAAAAACCTATACGTTCTTGTCGAACGTCAGACAAAAGGATCTAATGAAGGCCAAAATGAGATATCTGGGTGGATTAAACAAATTAGACTTTGCCGCCGAACAAATTGCAGCAATGCAACAAAATTTAGAAGAATTTCGGCCCCAATTGGAAAGTATGAATAAAAAGGCTATCGAAATGACGAAGCAAATAGAGAAGGAAGCGAAAGATGTAGAAGCAGCGTCCGCTGTGGTCAAACAAGACGAAGCGGTAGCGAACAAGCAAGCCGCAGCTGCTCAAGCTCTCAAGAAGGAGTGCGAGGCTGATCTGGCTCTAGCGTTACCAGTCTTGGAAGATGCTCTAGCAGCTTTAGACACTCTGAAGCCCGCCGACATTACACTCGTTAAATCTATGAAGAATCCCCCGGAACCAGTAAAACTCGTCCTGGCCGCTGTGTGCGTTATTAAAGACATAAAACCGGACAGAGTTCCTGACCCATCAACCGGAAGAATGATGCTGGACTATTGGCGTCCAAGCGTAAGGATGTTGGGCGACATGAACTTCCTCCAAGCTCTAAAAGATTTCGATAAGGACCATATCAAACCCGAAATAATGACGAAAATCAGAAAAGAATATTTACCTCTCAAGGACTTCAAACCGAACGTCGTCGCTAAAGCTTCGAGTGCAGCAGAAGGCTTATGCAAGTGGATTATTGCCATGGATTTGTACGATAAAGTCATAAAAGAAGTAGCTCCTAAAAGGGCGAAATTGGAAGCGGCAGAAGCCGAATTTGCGGCAACCATGGCCATCCTAAGAGAAAAAAAGGAAATGGTTAGAAAATTAGAAGCCAGACTGGCTGATCTGCAAGAAAAACTAGTTGAAGCTCAAGAGAAGCAAGCTGCGCTACAAGCAAACGTTAATCTCTGTTCCGACAAATTATATCGTGCCAAAAAGCTGATCGGCGGTTTGGGTGGCGAAAAATCGAGGTGGACGTTGGCGGCTAGTAATCTTCAAATACAATACGATTGTGTAGCCGGAGATATATTGATATCGTCCGGCGTCATTGCTTATTTGGCATTTTTCACTTCTTCTTATCGACAAGATGCTGTCAGTGAATGGGTAGCATTAGTGAACGAACTGAAAATACCGTGTTCGCCAAAATACGAATTCGAAGCTATACTTGGATCCGAAATAAAGACCCAAGATTGGTACATAGCTGGCTTGCCGCGTGACTCGTTTTCGACAGAAAATGCCATCATTCAGGATTCATCGAAGAGATGGTCATTATTAATTGATCCGCAAACTCAAGCGAATCTGTGGATTAAAAAGTTAGAGAAATTAAACGATTTGAGAGTGACAAAGCTAACAGATCCCGGTTGTATGAAGATAATTGAAGAATGCGTTCAAGAAGGCTATCCGTGCTTGATTGAAAATGTCGGAGAAGACCTTGAAGCTTCTCTTGATCCAATTTTATACAAACAAACGTATAAACAGGCCGGACTGGAAGTCATAGCGTTGGGCGAAAACGTTATACCGTACAATAAAAAATTTAGACTTTACCTAACATCGAAATTAAGAAGTCCCCACTACCTTCCAGAAGTATTCAACAGAGTGACGATTATAAATTTTGCTCTCACCCTAGACGGGTTGCAAGATCAACTGTTGGGAATCGTGGTAGCCAAAGAGAGGCCCGATTTACAAAATCAGAGAGAGGCTCTTATCGTTCAAAGTGCTAGCCACAAGGCCACGTTAAAGGAAGTTGAAGATTTAATCCTGAAAACTCTCTCAGAAAGTCAAGGTGATATTTTAGAAGACGAAACTGCCGTGCAAGTGTTGGATCATTCGAAACAACTGTCAATCGAGATAATCGAGAAACAAGCGAAAGCGGAAAAGACAAAGGCTGAAATTGATGGATTTCGACTTGTTTACAAACCGGTTGCCGACTATTCCGGTCATCTTTATTACTGCATTTGTGACTTACCAAATGTTGATCCGATGTATCAATACTCTCTCGCTTGGTTCATATCGATTTATGTCAGGTCGATTTCTTCTCAGGGTCTATCTCAAAAAATCGAGAGAAGATTGGAAGAGTTGAAAGCGGCATTTTTATATAATCTGTACAACAACGTCTGTCGGTCATTGTTTGAAAAGGACAAGCTCATGTTTTCTTTCTTACTTTGCGTTACAATAATGATTTCCGAAGGCGATCTCGACGAAAAAGACTATTCGTTCTTTTTGACGGGCGGCATCAACGTCGATAACCCTTTAAAGAACCCTCAATCTGACTGGCTCAGTAACAAATCGTGGGACGAAATTTGCCGAGTAAGCGAGCTCCATGCTTTCCATGGTTTCAGGCAGTCTTTCGTCGAACGTGCACACCAATGGAAAGAATTTTATGATTTGGTAGAACCGCATAAAGCATTACTTCCGGCTCCGTGGGAGATGAAATTGACAGAATTTCAAAAATTAATAGTCATACGATTATTCAGAGCGGACAAAATAACGGCAGCGATTTACAAATTTATCGAAGAGCAACTCGGGGAACAATTCGTTAAACCCCCGCCTTTTAATATTGCAAAATCGTACGGCGATGCCAGCAATGTAACACCGCTGGTGTTTATTTTATCGGCTGGTATTGACCCAATGGCAAGTCTTGTTAAATTTGCAGAACAAAAAGGTTTCGGTGATAGATTCCGATCGATTTCCTTAGGACAAGGACAGGGGCCGATTGCCTCTGAGATGATAGACACAGCTAAAGAGGAAGGAGCATGGGTTTGTTTGCAGAATTGTCACCTTGCCGTATCTTGGATGCCGGCACTTGAAAAGATATGGGAAGAGTTTGACGGACTGAAAATGCATAATGCCTTTCGTCTGTGGCTTACCAGCTATCCATCGGACAAGTTTCCACCTTCTATTCTTCAAAACGGAGTAAAAATGACAAACGAACCTCCCCAGGGCTTGAAACAGAACTTGTACAGATCATATATTAACGACCCGGTTAAAGATCCACAATTTTTCGAAGGCTGCTACCTCAGATCGTACGCGTTTGTTAAACTTCTCTATGGTGTTGCGTTTTTCCATGCTGTAGTACAAGAAAGGAGATTATTCGGACCTTTGGGATGGAATATTCCATACGGTTTTAACGAATCGGACTTCGACATTTCGGTACGTCAACTACAAATATTTATTAACGAATACGCCGACAATCCGTATGAAGGAATCGGTTACCTGATTGGAGAATGTAATTATGGCGGACGAGTTACAGACGACTGGGATCGTAGATTGATTACAACAATTCTTGCTGATTTTATCAACCCGGATGTCGTTAAAAAGAAGAACTACCAGTTCTCAAACGTCGGCAGTTGTTATGGATTACCCTCGGAATTGTCTTACAATGATTTCGTCGAGCATATTGAAAAATTACCGAATGCACATCCACCCGAAGTGGTCGGACTACATTCAAATGCGGGAATTACGAGAGATTTGAGTGTATCTTTCGATCTGTTAAATTCGATCATAACCGTAATTGGAGGCGGTGGAGCGGCCGGGGGAGACACAGATGCCCTGGTGATCATGCTGACTGAAGATATAATATCAAAACTACCCCCCGATTTCAATATCGAAGAGGCCAAAAAGAAATTCCCGGTTGTATACAGTGAATCGATGAATACAGTGCTGGTACAAGAGATGGAACGTTTCCAGAAATTATTAAGAATTATTCGTACAAGTCTTCAAACGCTAAATAAAGGAGTACAGGGGTTAGTGGTGATGACCCCTGAACTAGATACATTGGCGTCGTCTTTGATTCTTGGCAAAATACCTGCAATGTGGGCTAAGGCTTCGTATCCCAGCTTAAAATCACTTCCAGATTATGTCGCGGACTTGATACACAGGCTGAATTTTCTCAATTACTGGTTCCTAGAAGGAAAACCTACCAGCTTCTGGGTGTCCGGTTTCTTTTTCACTCAAGCCTTTCTGACAGGTGCAAAGCAAAATTTTGCCAGAAAATTCACGATTCCCATTGATCAACTAACTTTCGACTTTGAGGTACTTAAAGTGCGACAAATTAACTACAGTCCTCCCGATGGCGTTTTCGTTTATGGCCTGTTCACCGACGGCGCAAGGTGGGACTTGGAAAGATGTATGTTGGCGGAACTGTATCCGAAAATCTTGAACGACGTTATGCCCATAATTTGGTTGAAACCGATCACGGTTGACAAATACAACGAAAAGGGACGCTATAAGTCACCACTTTACAAGACATCCGAAAGGAGAGGAGTCCTCTCAACAACAGGCCATTCCACAAATTACGTCTTACCATTTTTATTGGGAACAGAACTTCCTTCGTCCCATTGGATTAAAAGGAGCGTGGCATTACTCTGTCAGCTCGATTAAAACTTCTACTGTGATACGTTTATACACTTTATATTCTTCAAAATTTTATTTTATTTTATTTACTTCTATGTTATACACAATTAATATATTATATATAGTACGTTGAAGTACCTACTAGAAATTTGTTGTATTCTATTGGTTATCTAACATTTACTGTTATATTGTATTTTATTGAAAATTTATTGTTAATAACTATCAATGCAAAATAAAATATTAAATTAATTACTTAGCTTTTTATTTTCGTGGACATATTCCTAAATCATCTACTGCCATGGAAATTGTTATATTCTCAGGAGCAAGAAAGNGAAGTCTTTAAGAAATAGGAGAGATAAGTTGGTAGGACACCTTATTAGAAGCATAAACAAGAGTTGAAAGGCGTAGAGGTAGATCTAGATTAGTGCTGGCAAATAATTAAGGATGTGGAATGTTTTAGTTTTAGGTTTTTAGATTAGCTCAGGATAGGCAAGAGTGGAGGTGCATATCCAAACGGTCTTAGAACTGAAAACCCTATGATGATAGTAATGATGATTCAAAACGAATATGGTGTACTTTTCAATAAATATATCCACCAAGAAGTGTTTTATTTATGAAATAAAATTGAAAAACTATGTAAGAATCTAACAATATTTGGAAAACTTTGTTTATAAATTACGTTGTCAAAACAAAGCTCCACATTTACATAGGTATGTAAGTACAGTTCATTTATTAGCAACATTATTATAAGTTGCTAATGTATTTATCCGAGTTATATATAAATATATGTGTATGTATAAATATTTGCTCGAAAGTTTAGCACATACGCGAGTAAACGTTTTGGGTGATGTATCTTACTTCCCCAGCTACAAAACTTTTTGAGAAAGCAACTCTATTGTGCTGTCAGTAAATTTTATGGGCTATTTATTGATAAAACGATCGCGATCAATTGATGTTTGATCATAAAAGTATGTAGGCAATAAAAATAAATTACGCTGGGATATATACCTAATCCCATCAATTTACTTACTTAATCGATAATAATCCAACATTAATATGTAACTGGCCACCGAGGGTTATGTACGTGAGAGATCCATAAAAACACCTAGGCAATAACTGAGAGATGTGAAAGACTGTGAGAGACGCTCTCAGAGACGCTGAAAGACTACGAGAGACTGAAAATTTTTGTCTAGGGCGGTATCCTCATCATTCATTCAACACCACATTTCGAACGCTTTCTAACCTTTTCTTTTCCGCCGCGGCCACCGTACAAACATACACCTTAAACAACCTTTTTCGAATTTCTAAATTAACCGTTCGCGAGTATAGAAGTTACTTCTTTTTATTGAAGGCGACTCTACCCTGCACTATCCTCTGCTTTATATCTTTACTACCCCTTCCGTGCTGACTTATCTGACTTCCTAAATACCTAAAATCAGCCACTTCATCTAATTTTTCCTTTAACAATGTTTAAACGAATTAAGGAGTTAGCCCAATTGCAAAATAAAATGAACATTACTGAAGCGCGAATTTCTGTTTTTGTTTTTTTATTTAGCCATTTAACACACCTACTTTGTACGTCAGATAATTACCAAGTTAGTTTATCCAATATCAACAGAAACCTCATCAGGGTAATTACACTTATTGCTTTTTTCTAATATACATACGCTGATAAGCTGCGGGTGAAAAGTCCCTTGAGAAATTAAACTATAAAGCTTAGATACATAAAAACATTCGAACTGTAATGAATACTGTCGGTAGCAGTAAACAGACAGTTAAACTAATCATTATTATTTAATTACATGGTTGTGGCATACGCTAATTCACGGAGTAGGCAAAAGCCACATCATAAGAACGCATATTAGCAATTAATTACTTAATTGTCTGATTAAAGCACTTTTCACGAGCAAAAAACTCAATTCAATTAAGGCAGCACACCAGACGAAACTTTAAATTTCATACTTTACTCGAATGAATTTCGTACAATGTTACATCATTAAAAATATTTTCTTTGAGTTTGTTTACACTTATTTTAAGTTAATGATACTTCTTGAATGCAAAAGGTTAATACTCAAAACGGCGATTTATTTGACCCTGCTAAATTTAGGTTCAAAATTAAGTTGAAATCGGACTAAAAATATCTCAAGGAATTTGAAACTAGCCCGTAATCGAAATTCGATCGATTTTATCATTTTATTTTCCCTCCTACCAATCGTCCTGCAACCTATTTAAATCAACGTAAAATGCCACAGCCCAGGACATTGAAAAATATCCTAATGTGTGGTAGGTATTTACTTGTACGAATTATTATTACAAAAACGTATATTAAAAATTAATTACCTGTCTTTATCTGCATGAAACAGCTTCTTCTTTTCTTTAGAGCTTTTCGATGAATCCTTTATTCTAGCTATTTCACTTTTAACCTTGTAGCAGTAATATGTGGTTCTTGCAAATAAAACGCTGTTGCAAACAATTAACACAGCCACTGGCATAAGGAAAAAGATAGCGTAAGATTCAAAATTGCCCCCTGTAACGTGAAATATTTATTTTTAAAATTTTTGTAAAACTTTGTCTTTGCTGATTATTTGGTAAAAATGTAATAAGTTTTTCTTGATTTGTTCAGTCCTGACTGTATATACATATATTTTTAATTCTACAGTTATGTGGGAATTCACAAAAATATTTCATCCACGTTAACAATATGTTTCAGGCAATTGTGAAGTCCTATTTTGTTCAGTTTATTGCCCTTCAGGTACTTTTGCCGGACCCCTTGGGTCAAAATATCTGTACTGCTTAATTATTACTAGCTTGGTACAGCCTATCCACCCTCTCTCCCTTCAGGAGGTCTGTTTATGTATTTAAGTTAGTTTTAAGTTGTACAGAAAGCATTCTTTCAGTATCTTTGTAAACGTTCACTTTGTTAATTTTAATTCTTTTGTAAATATAATAAATAGTTCAGCAGTTTCTAAATATTTCATTCCAATCTTTTAACAGTTAATATCCAAAAACAAAATATAGAAATAGTTACACCGAAGTTCTTTTTTAAATGGACGTGTAACGTACAGAGTCGTCTGTACA